CCATTCCCGGGCCACATTTTGAATGCCCGGAGCCAACTGTAGGCCACTTCGTGCTCTTCGAGTTCCCAGAACTCCATTCCCGGGCCACATTTTGAATGCCCGGAGCCAACTGTAGGCCACTTCGTGCTTTTCGAGTTCCCAGAACTCCATTCCCGGGCCACATTTTGAATGCCCGGAGCCAACTGTAGGCCATTTCGTGCTCTTCGAGTTCCCAGAACTCCATTCCCGGGCCACATTTTGAATGCCCGTAGCCAACTGTAGGCAACTTCGTGCTCTTCGACTTCCCAGAACTCCCATTCCTGGGCCACATTTTCAGCAGGGGCAATAGCACGACGAGGAGGAGGACGAGCAAGACCAGGAGGACGAGGACGAGCAGGAGCAGGACGAGGAGCAGGAGGAGCAGGAGAAAAAGGACGAGCAGGAGGAGGAGGAGGACGAGCAGGAGGAGAAGGACGACCAGGAGGAGGAGGACGACCAGGAAGAGGAGGAGGAGGAGGAGGAGGGGAGGGGGAGGACTACCAGGAGGAGGAGGAGGAGGAGGAGGAGGAGGAAGAGGAGGAGGAGGAGGAGGAGGAGGAGGAGGACGAGGAGGAGGACGAGGAGGAGGAGGAGGAGGGGAGGGGAGAGCTGCCTTCTCGTCGAGATGCTGTTCGACCCAGAGATGCTCCTACACATGGCTGTTAGGTTGCTTTGCAGGGATAATTTTTTTTTTGGGGGGGGGGCTACTGTCTTGGCACACTGTGCCAGTTCCGGCGTGTGCTGCTTGGGCCAGTCGACGTTCGGTTGTCAGTTGTTGTCCCATCCTCACTCTTTCCAGCCTCCTTGGAACAAGCTGCCGCGCTGAAGACATGTTTCACGTTCTGCACGGCCTTCGTTTCGACAGCAAGAGGGATGGCAGAGGACATGATGGACGGCAGAGAGGAGGAGTAGAGGGAGGAGTTGATTCCTCGCCCTGCGTCTCCCTTCCATTCCTCTGATTCCTTATCTCATGCTCCCGTCCCTCCCTTCGCTTGATCGTGGAGTTGCGGCTAGGTATGGCATCGAAGGTTGCGAGTAAAATCCCTTATGCTACTAGTTGATTGTTTCATGCACGTCTTGCTCGTGGGGCCGCGCATGTACTCGCGAATCCCGAGGAGTAAGATCACAGTGTTTCACATCTGGGCTCTGAACCATTCGGCTTCCGTTCGCGCGTATCTGTCTTGAACAGATCGCATTTGCACCTGTTGCCAGAGCACGTTGACACTTATCCTTTGGCGTTACCTGCAGTTGCCAATATTTCGAGTCGGCATGTTAGGAGTTGGGGGCGACAATGAGATACATGCTATAACAGTGATGCACGAGACACGAGACAGAGACATAGAGAGATATTATCATAGGTGTGTGAATAGCGATAAGTATACATATATATATATATATATATATATATATATATTATATACTGCAGTGGCGCTTCGCGCCATGAACCTTGGTCCTGTAAGTTTGGTATACAGGCGGACTAGCAGGAAGGTCAAGCCGACAATTTAGCGATAACACCTTGTTGCCTTTTCCGGCATCGCCGCTATGATACTGTTATTCGTTATCCTTCCTCCATGCTTCTTTTTCCTCATGTTCGCCATGCTCTGCGCATTCTCTCCATCCTCCTCAGCTCTTTTTGCGGAAGCTCCTCCTTGGAGTGCCTCTGGGGGCCTCACAAAAGTTGTTTCAGGCTTTCTACAGGCCTTCTGGAGACCTCCTGGGCGTGTTCTGGGGGCCTCTGGGGGCTTCCTCGGGCCACCCTGCCTCCAACCGCGGTCTCCATGACCGACCGGGTCACGATTTGGAATGCTTCGGAGGGTGTCTTGGGGCCATCTTGGGCCGCCATGGGGCTCTCTGAGGGCCATCTTGGAACCCTGTTGTGCCGTTTTGGGGCTCTCTTGGACTGCCTGGAAGCCCTTTCGGATGGTTGTGGGGCGTTCTTGGAGCCTCCCAGGCGGCTTCGGACGCCCAGAAGACCGCCGTCTTGGAGCGTCGGGAAGCCGAAAAGAGGAGAACCCCAAAATTCACCAAAAAGCAACACAAATCAATGATTTTTGCCTCTTGGGGCCTTCTTGGGAGTGCTCTTGGAGGCCTCTTGGGACGTTTCGGGACGATCTTTGGGGGTATGACGGCTTCTTGGGGATCGTCGTGGACCGTATTGGGGCTCTCTGGGGTCGTTTCGGGAGCGCGCCACGCCCTGCGAGGCCCGGGGTGCCGCTTCGAGGCCCGTCTGGAGTGTCCCAAAGCCCCAGATCCCTGGAGTCCGGTTTTGGGGGGGGTCCCCCCGCCCGGGCTTATAAAAATACAGGAAGGGGAATATCGAGGGAGATAGAGGCATAAATAGAGATAGAGAGAGAGGGACAGAGAGAGAGAGAGAGCGTCAACGAGAGAGAGAGAGAGAGAGATAGAGATCGACAGGGAGATACGAGAGGCGCACCCATCTAGACAGCGAGAGAGAGAGAGAGAGAGAAAGACATGCCACGACACACACACACACACACGTACACATACCAATACTTACACATCGTGCATATGCAAATACCTAAACATATGTCTGTGCGTGTACACATCCATGCACATGCACACACATCTACATATACACGTACATACAAACATGTAAGTGTATACATGTATACACATGAATATGCATATGTCGTCAGACAGGCAGATCTGCATACAGACAGCCAGGCGTACATGTTGACCAGCGTGGACCCCAATCAGCGCCCCCGAGGCGCCCACGAGCGCGGGCGAAACCTCGGCTGACCCACCCAGCGCACGAGGCGCCCACGAGGCGCCCAGCGAGGGAGAGGGAAAGTGAGAGAGAGAGAGAGAGACACACAGAGAAAAAGGGAGGAACAGAGACAGAGAGAGATAATATGTGTATATGTATTTACAAGACTTGAAGCTCGCTGCGCTTCGCTTGGAGGTCTTGGCACGATGCGCTGGCGTGCAGTGTGCGAGTGAAGTGCGACTATGCGGGCTGAAGCGTCGGCGATGGGCAGGGGCGGGGATGGGAAGGTCACGGGCGCATGGGCGTCGGCCCATGGAGTGCGCGCGCGCCGTGCGCGCGCGCCGAGTTGGCAAGGGGCGATGCACGCGACGGTTATCGACGATAAGATTAGGCGGGGATGCAACGCCGAGGGCAGGGGAAGGGAGAGGTGTGGTAAACGCGGGGCATTCGGGACAACTTCAGGATTCGGGGGCCCGATTGGGGAAGACGGAGGGGTCGGAATCCTTCTTGGCTGGTGGGACACAGGGGGTTGGGAAGGTCAGGGGCAGCGCCTGTGGACAGGGTGTTTACAATGACGGTGACCACGATGATGATGACGTGATTGTGGCGACGACGGAAGTGGCATGCGCAGGGGACGGGAGGGGCAGGGGCTCGCCAGCCTGGATCGAGGGAGCGGCCCGAAACTTGGAACGCCTCCCCTCAGCCCGACGTGGCCTTTCTCTCGGCGTCTTGCGTGCGTGCTCGGATCTGCAAATCTACACACAACAGACCTCGTGCCAGCGAAGCGGTCTGGACGGCTGCTTGCCCGCGTGCTTCCTTCCCTGTCCGTTTGCGCGCGCGGCCGCTGTTTCATTGGCCTGCGCGCGCGTGGCTTGCATTGTCGTGCCCTCCTGTCTTGCTGCAAAGAGAAAATATCTACACTGCCCCATGCCTGCAGTCCGCGGAACACCTGGTCGGGTCCAGATGTTTCGAAGCACATCAACGATTTGGGTCTCGTGGGGCCCTCTTCGGAGGCCTCTCGGAGGCCTCTTGGGCCGTCGTCAAGTCATCATAGGCGTCTTGGGCAGATTATTCGGCGATTTCGGGCCCTTTGGACCGTCTTGGGAAGCCCAACTGGCGGGCCAGATAACCCCCGAGGAACACCTAGGGCCTCCGGGGACTGGCCAGGGAGAGCCCCGCGGGCCCCTGGGGCCGCCAGATTCTATTGGGGGGGGGCCGCCCATCCCCGGGGATCTCCTGATGTGAGATAATAAAGATTAGGAATATATAATAGATATATATATATTATATATATATATATATTATATATATATATATACATACACACACACAAAAAAAACGCCCCCCTCCCTGGGAGCGCCCCCCACCTTCGTGACATCTGGGGGTGGCTCCCGGCACCGCGCCCCCGGGCCTCCCAGGGCGGCCCCAAAGCGCCCCAGGACGGTCCAAGACGCCCCCAAGGGGCCCCCAGAACGCGAAAGGACGGCCCAAGACGCTCCAAGCTAGCCCGAGACATACCTCCGACGGCTTTCCAAGCTCCCAGGAGGCCTCCAAGAGTCGAGATCCCACGAGTGCACCTGTCCTGCCTAGCTACAACGTCAGCGCGCGCGCGCCAAGAAAGAGGCAAAAGAGGGGACCCCCCGAAGCCTTGCGAGCGCTTTGCCCCAATGTGGCCCCAAGGTTCTCCCAGAAGTTCTCGAGGCGCCCACCAGATGCCTGCGGAGGGTTCCCAGGAGGCACCGAAAGCCCCCCACGAGGCCCCGAAAGATTCCCAAGACGGCGCCAGAAGGCCTCCAGAGGCGTCCCAACAGTCCACGGTCTGTATCCAGGAAGCTTCTGACCTACGGCCCAGGCATGGCAATTGGAAAAAAGGGAATCAAACGAATTTCTTGCGATTTCGAACTTACCCTGCTTATTTTTGCACAACAGACCATTAGTTAGGGCCCCCGGCCGTCGAGGGCCCCAAATCTGCGAACACCGAAAGGAAATTGATGATGTTGTGGTTTCCGTATTTCCCCTTCTATACGCTTCCGAGGCTTCTTCAGGGACTCGAAGACGGTCGTTATATGCACCAGGCACTTCAACAATTTATGTTCCATACGTTAGCCTGTCGAACCCAGCTAGAACTTGAGCGCGCGCGAAGCGCGCGATGGTTCTAGTGTATGTATGTATGTGTATATATACACGTTTATGTTTATGTATATGTATATGAATGTGTATATGTATGTGTATATGTATACATATATATATGTATATATGTATATATATATATGTATATATAGATTAGTATATGTATATATATATATATGTATATATGTGCATGTGTATAGGTATATGTTTATGTATATGTATATGTATATGTATATGCATATGTATATGTATACGTGTATATATATAAATGTATATGTATATGTATATGTATACGTATGTGTATATGCTTACGTATATGTATACGTATATGTATATGTATACGTACATGTATATGTATGTGTATGTGTATGTGTATGTGTATGTGTGTGTATATGCATATGCATATGCATATGTATATGTATATGTATATGTATATGTTTATGTATATGTATATGTAGATGTTTATGTGTGACTATATGTATACGTGCTTGTATATGTATGTACACATATTTGCTGACTTCGCGAGCAGGGGGCCATGAGCGTGGAGCTCGCCGTGCAATGCACGAAGCTCCCGGAGTGGCTGCTGGCACGGAGAGTCATCCCAGATAATTACGCCACCCTGATGCCCGGGATCGACGCCAAGGCTGGCCGAGGGGAGTTTCTCTACGCTGCTGCTGCTCCTTCCTCCTCCTCCTCCTCCTCCTCCTCCTCCTCCTCCTTCTCCTCCTCCTCCTTGGTGCGTTGAGCGGACTTCGAGCGCAAAGTAGGCTCGCAGCGTTCGACCTCCTCCTCCTCGTCCTCCTCGTCCTCCTCCCTACCTCCCTCTCTCCTCTCCCTCCCTTCTCGCGCTGCTGCTGCTGCTCGTCCTCCTGCTGATGCACAGGATCCCCCCCGGTGTCGCTCATATCCTCGCCCGTGCTCTGCCCCTCGGGGGGGCGCAGCTTGCCCGCCAGGGGCCTCTTCCGCTCGAAAAGTCGCCCCGCGTGCCCCAGCCGAGGCAGGAGAAGCGCAAAGGCCAGGCCTCCCCAACGGGGTCCGAGCAGTAAGTCGGGCCTGTCCCTCCACCAGAGCAATATTCGAAAGTTGTCGAAGATAGTCTGGGGACGATTCTCCTACAATGTCTGACTACTTTTGTTGGGCTATGTGTCATTTGTTGTCCGAAATCCGCCGGTAGGAGGACATGCCCGACCTGATCCGAGCAGCGGGAGCGGCAGGCTCAGGGGGGGGCGGGGGCGTCTGTGGCTCACGTGGCCTCGCCCGGGCGTGTACCGCTTCTCCTCGGCGAGGGCCACCGAGGGGCATCTTTCGGGTATGGCCAGGACCCCGGGCAAGGGGACCCGGTTAGTGGTAGGGCCCCGGAGCCTTCGAATTGGCCAGGATCGCTAAACCAGGTTTGCCGTAGCTGGTGTTTTTTCGGGTAACAGCAGTTCCGGTTAGTGGAAATGGGACGGGGGGGCGCCCCCGGTACAGATCACTAAACCAGGTTCCACTAAACCCAGTTCTACCAACGCCCGAATCTTGGGTCACCTCGAGGAAGGAAAAGGCCAGGCCTCCTCAACTCCTAGGCCTCCTAGATGGGGTCGGAGCAGATGGGGTCGGAGGATCGCGCCGCGTCGCCGATGCATCGCCGATGCCGCTCGATGTGCAGCCCAATTTGCTTCACGTCGACGTCGCCGATGCATCGCCCACGTCGGCGATGCATCGCCGGTGCATCGCCGATGCATCGCCGATGCGATCCTGACCCCATCTACTCCGACCACATCTAGGAGGCCTTGATCAACGGGGTCCGAGCAGCGGGAGCGTCAGTCGGCTGCGAGCGAGGGGGGGAAGCGAGAAGGAGAAAGGCCTTCTCAGAGGGCGGCGGGACTTCTCGGACGCCCTCGAGACTTCTGAGAACCGTTCTGCGTCTTCGGGGGAGCTCTTGGAAGCTTCTCAGAGGGCCAGGGGACTTCCGAGCCTTCTGAGAAAGGCCCGTCCATTCCCACTTCGCCTTCGGGCTCGCCGCCGAGCTAGGCTCAGGGGGGGGAACGTGTGTGGCTCACTTGGCATCGCGCGAACGTGCGCAGCTTTTCTCGGCGAGGACCATCGAGGATCATTTTTGATCATCTTGCGACAAACATCGGCGCACGGAACCAAAGCATGCACGGAGAATGGACGTCCGAGCGATGGCAAGCCGCGACGGCTCAAGCCGCGACGGCTTACGTAAACAAGTTTTATTGTGAAAGCTTGTGCTCGTGAATCCAGTCGGCCTCACGCTGTGTGAGCCGAGCCTTTCGATCTGCAGAGGGTGTTCAAAGCACGTGCGCTCGAGCCCTGCTGACCGGGTTGTGAAACACTTGCTGAGGAAAAGTGCAGCTGTCAGACGTCCGATCTGTCACCTCAGAGCTTGCTCATCGAAGGGGGAGCGCTGTCGCGTTTTTCGGGCACTCTCTTCGGTCCTCGGCGGCTCTTTCCAGCCTCGGGGTGCGCTCCGGCAGCTGCGCCTCCTGGCATCGCTCGGACGTGTGCATGTTTTTCCTCGGCGAGGACCATCGAGGAGCATCCTTGATCATCAGGCGAAAAAACCACGCCCGAAACCGAAAAGAGCACCGGGAAGGGACGTCCGAGCGGCGGCCAGGGGCCCGGCCAGCGAGCCGAGCAGCGGCCCGGAAGCCAAGGGGCCCCCCTCCCCCGCCTCTCGGGGGCCCGGGCCTCCCGGGCGGGGCCCGAGCAGAGATACAGTCGGGGCCTTGAAGAAGGAGCCCCTTTACGTGGGGGAGGGGCTCGGTGTTCCTTGATTGTTCTGCAGTTTGCCCTTCTGTTTTCCTGTGAGATTTTCGATGGGAGGTCGAAGGCTAACTTCTGGAGAGAAGGGGCCCCGTTCCTTATCTTGGGTTCCTTAGGTCAACGCCCCGACGGTAGAGGGTCGGAGGGTCGCCTCGCCTCGCCGGTGCCTCGTCGGCGAGGCTCGAGCGTGGGGTCCGACTGCGCCGGCGTCGCCGACGCTGGCGCGGGCATAACTCAGAGCGTGAATTACCTACCCCGCTTTCGCTTCCAGGCAAAACCAAGCCATACCACGCGCCTCCTCGTCAAGCGGCCTGACCAGCACAGGCCGTAGTTTGGCATCGCTTGGTATCTCTTGGAAGCGAGGGTGGTCAAAAGCGAGGTCGGTCTGTTTTCCCCCTAGTATAGGGGCCCGAGTGGCCAGCGCGGCGCACGCGCACGGGGCACGCGTGCGCAGCACAGGGGGGCCACCTGCGGCTGCGACGGCGGGCGCGACTCCACGGGCGATCGCGAAACTGCGTGCAGGCAGGCAGCCAAAAGCCCCTGGCGGCAGCCCTGGCCGGGTCCGTGGCGGTCTCGGCGCCCAGCGCCGCCTCCGGTAGCAACCCCAGGGCCTGATTGGGGCGGTCCGCGCGCCACGGGCAAGCCAGCCTGCAGGGCCGCCGCCGCGGCCTGCGGGCGCGGGGCGCTACCACTGGGGGCTGTCCATGCGCAGCCCCCAGCGTTGCCACCCACCCCAGCCCTCGGCAGCCACGCGTGAGCGAAGAAGCCATGCGAGCGGGAAAAACCCGAGCGGTTGAACAGAACGGTCTGACTCCCTCAGACTGGCTTTGCTGTCTCGTTCGCTCGTGTCCCGAAGAAGGAGGAGGAGGAGGAGGAGGAGGAGGAGGAGGAGGTGGGCAGCTACGCTACACAGATCCGCCCCGTTCCGCTCTCCGCCCTCCCACAAAGGTGGAGAACAGTCTGAGGAGGGGGGGGGAGGAGGAGGAGGGCGGCGAACCTATTTCACTGTCCGATCCCTACGGTGGGG